CCCTTCCCTCCCCCCAGTTTTCTAATGGAACTCTCTCAAGGTTAAAAACAATTTTTTCTTCATGTATGTCATAGCTCAATAAATAAACCTTTATTTGCTTTTGTTGCTCTAATCACTCAGACTCGACTTGCGTGTGATGTTGCGTACATTATAAACAAACTTAACACATAGTGTAATCTTGTCATATTGTACTTGAATAAGAGCAGTTACTTACTCTGTGTACTACTGAACTCCTAACACCACTGATTTCCATCTTGTAGAGAGCCAGACTGTCTATTTTGCTAGAGCAGGTGAACAAACTGTTAGGAGTCCCTCAGCATAGAGCAAAATGGACAGCAAATGGTGAGTCTCTAAAGAGTATAAAAGTGTCTTTGTGGACCTTACTTTCGGGTCGAGGTGTCGAGAAGTAAGAAAAATTATCCAGTAGGAGTTACCGTTTGATTGATGACCAACTTCTCATCGTCAAAATTGTAAGGATTGTATGGGGGACAGTATGAAGAATTGGTGTTAAGATAGCGGTACTGTGGAACCTTGATTTAACAAACTGCCAAGGGTCTGGGGAAATTGGTTGTTGTATCAAGGGTTCGTTATATCGGGGCTCTGTGGCATACATTTTACTGTACCTTTAGCCGGGCTGGAACTGAAGTATCCTTCGTTATACCCGAGGACTTCGTTATATAGAGATTCGTTAAATCGAGGTTCCACTTTAGTTAAAGAGCAACAGCTAACATGGTTCAAAAATAATGCGGAGTTAAACAAGGAGTGCAAGAGATTAGCCCTTTTCCTCCGATGAGTGATCAAGACAGAATTTCTCCCTATGACATCAATACAATATCAAGCATATAACTGGGGAGAATAATGAAAAATATCAATTAGGGAATTATTAGTTGATCCAATACCAAAATAATTCTCATTGGTTACATTATAAGAATTGTATGGCTGACAGTTCGGAGAATTACTAATGAGATCGTGGGAGTGAAAGGGTAGACTTTTTAACAGGCAAAAATTGATACAAAAGTCTCAATAGAGTGCGCTTTGTATGTTTGTTTTTTGTTTTTTTTTCCTAACACAGCTATACACGGTAAGGATATTGTGGCCATACTTCATCTGTTGGTTGCACTGGCGCGCCACTTCGAGAGTCCCCGCAAACTTCCAGGCGGTGTCCGAATAAATATGGTGGTGGTACAGAAAAAAGGAGGAATTCTGCTGCCGAACAAGATTGTGGAGGAAATTACAGCCCCCAATGAAGGAGAAGAGTAAGTTGTTGTGCAGGGTAATCTTATTGATTTTCTTCTAGAGTGGGACAAAGGAAAACTCGCAGCTTTCTTGTAGGCTTTGGAATTGTGTGGTTTCCTGCCCTACCACTTGGCTTTAGAGAACTCATGAATTTAACAAATCGACAGTGGTATACAGGGGCAAAATCTTTTGGGGTCAAAATATTGTGAAATCACGAGGAGCAGCCGAGTAGGTCGGCAAAACATTTGACCACTGTGATGACGAATATCGTTGTCGATGAGTGTAGAGACCACGCAATACCAAAGTCGATTTGTTTTTTACCACAATATCGACGTCAAACGAAACGATTCTTTCAGTGCGTGACACGTTGACGCGAACAGCATTGTCTGTACTCTCATCGACGATGGCAAATTGGCCAATACGACTGCGACATTACTGCCAATTGTGGCGCTAACTTCAATTTTTTTTTTACTGATTTATTTTTTTGTATTGACACGGGGGACGTACTTCGCCGTAAAGGGTGGAAGGCTTGTAGTCTGACAAACTACGTTTATACATACACCCAAGTGTAGGATGAAAATGCTACTCCTTCACTGAAACCTGAATCTCTATTAATGTCCCATTAAAATTTCTTCTTCTTTCTTTCTTTTCTTTCTTCAGTGTACAAAACGGAAAACCAGGTAAACAATGTTTGTTGTAGGGATAATTTTGGTAGCATCTCATTTTACGTTTATTTCTTCTTGTGTTCTGCGTTAGACATTTTAATTACCCTTACATCGCT